TTTTTTTTTTTGAGAAGTTTTTTGCTATAGGGCGCGTGCGCTCACCAGACAGACAGAGAGAGACAGAGAGATAGAAAGCGATAAATCACCCCCCAGGGGGGATGGCCATGCCGCAATCCCTTCTCCCCTCCATTCTCCTCTTGGGATCTTGGGCATGCACGCACACGCGCCCAGTGTGAGTTTGAGCCACCGGGTCTGGGACTCGAACCGCAGTCGACTACGTGGGAGTCCAGCGACATAGTCATTACGCTAACTGCTGGTCCCAAAGACACAGGTTTTAGAATCACAATTCTATTGATGATCTGGATCTACCAACTTCTGACCTAAGTAACTTTGCATAGCTGTTTAATTTCTCATCTTGGGCTTCAGTTTCCTTACCCATAAATAACAATAAAACAGATGATCAGTATGTTTTAAAAGACAAAAAGCGATATGGAAACAAACTGCAAGAAAGGGGAAGTTAGTTCAGGTGTGGGGAGTGAGGGCTTTCAAGAGCGCTGTGTGAAAAATGATGATGGTAAGTTTCAAAATGTAGGATTTTAGGAACCAGCAGTTAGCGTAATGGCTATGTCGCTGGACTCCCATGTAGTCGACCGCGGTTCGTGTCCCGGACCCGGTGGCTTAAAACTCACGCCAGGCGCGTGTGCGTGCGTGCCCAAGATCCCGAGAGGAGAATGGAGGAGAAGGGATTGCGGCGTGACCATTCCCCCTGGGGGGTGATTTCTTGCTTTCTGTCTCTATGTCTCTCTCTGTCTGTCTGGCGAGCGCACGCGCCCTACAGTGAAAATCTCTCCAAAAAAAAAAAAGAAAAAAAAAATGTAGGATTTTAATCAATCTGGATGCAAGGAAAGAATATTCCAGGTAAAATAAGAGAAAATAAAATAAAAACAAGAGCCATGGGAATGTACACTGTATAAAGCTCATTTGTCTAGACAAAGCACAATGTTTGTGGGTTTGTGTGTGTCTTTGGCTAAAGAGGAACACTGGGGACAAGTCACAGAGAATAAAATGTCATGTTTCAATTTTAGAATCAAAGTTACACAGAATAATTGTTAAAAGATTTTAGAATCATACATTTACCATTAAATCCAAGTTCTACTTCTCATTAGCTGTGTGACATGGAGAAAAGAAAATGAGTTTCATGTCCTCTTTTGTAAACTGGAGAAATCAAATTTAATTAAGGATTGAGTGATGTAATGCTATAGCTCTTAGCCTGCCTTGCACAAGAATCACTTAATAGGGTTAAATACTATTATTATTATCTGAAAAATTAGAACCCATTTAATATTTCATGTAATAATAAAAACCCTATTTCCAACCCCTCCAACTTTCTGCTGAACTTCAGCTACCTACTTACGCCATAACTTTTCTAACAAACTAATATTATCTGCAGCCTAAGGTTCTTGTTTGTCAACTTGTAAAACCTGGGATTTCATTTGTGGCATGTTAACTTGATTAGATTCAGAATGTAAGAAAAGAAAGTAGAACAAAGATGACGGAGTCTAAATAGATCCTATTCTGTAATAATGTTTTAGCCAGTTGGCTTGTAGACATTTTCTAACAACAGGAAGATTGCCAATATTATTCTTGGTGTGCCCTTGCAACCCCAATATTGTACATAGTCAAGAATTTTTCTTTTCTCTAAAATAGCTCATTTTAACAACTTTCAGTGGCTGATAGAACTTGGAGAAATTGGATGGTGGAATATCTAACTTAGTTCAGGGTAAAAGAGAGGATGCCAGTTCTCTGACACAATGTAATATGTAAGTGATTGCTTGTTTACTACTTTCAAAAGACTAATCATTATTTAGGAAATTCTCTATGAAACTTGAAAAGGATGCATCAAATCTCTTTAAGTAAATTTAGGAATGCAAGTCAAGATGTCATTGTCATTTAGGGAGCTACTAATTCCCTGGGGACATTCTAATATTTCATTCAGTATCTGTTAAGGCCCCACCCCTCCTTTGGTTCAACTTGACATGGCCTAATCTCTTGAGGGTTTGCTTATGTCTCCAAGTAGACCATAATCTATGGGGATCCCAATGTTACTTTATCATAGGATGGTGGACCTTTCTCAAGGATTCTGGCTTTCAAGAAGAGGAAACGTATGATTATACCAATATATACCCATGCTAACAGGTAACAAAGTAATTTATGTCTGTTACTTCCTTTGAGACTCACAACATCATGAGAAGAGCAAAGATGAAAGCATTTGGAATACAAGGAAGATCAAGAGAGATTTACTGACTTGTTTAAGAATAGAATGACAAAATTATAATTTCATAGATCATCCGGATCCTATCTAGATATCCTGTCCAATCCAGTGTATCCCTTGAGAAACTAGTTTCATGAACACAAATAGGTATACTGATTTGTTGACAATAACAACATATTGGTCCTCTAAAAGAAAACCTTAATTATATGAGCACATTAACAATTTCCTAAAGGAGAAAATAATACCAAGTTTTTCATAAGCATCATTTAGATAAAAATTATTAAAATATGAGGTTTCCTTTGTAAACTTTGTAAAAATGCATTACAGCAGCAAACAACACATTCTAAAGGAGTTTATCTTCATGCTTCCTTTTAGTAATTGCATTTTTTGGAAACTGTAAGCCAGACATGGAGAGCTTCTACATAAAGCATAATTACTTGGACCAATAATTATGCTGATGAGGTTAAGATGAATAATTTTATGTCTAATTATGAAAACAAAACAAAACAAAACACCATGAGATTCTTAGATGGATGACCACATCATCATGTATCCGTTCTCAGCTGCTTTTAACCTAATTATTCATGTGCATGTGCTTTTTTTCTCTACCACGTATGTTAGGTTGAAAATTTTAAATTATATTCAATTAGCTTTTTTAACAACTATTATGCAGAGGTTTCTATTTTAAATTTTTTTTTTTCCTTTTTTAAAAGATTTATTTATTTATTTATTGGTCAAAAGAGCATGAGCTTGCCAGAGAAAGACAGAGAGAGGGAAAGTGAGACATCATCCAATCATCCCCCAGTGGAGATGGCCATACCATAATCCCTTCTCCATTTCCTGCTGGGATTTTGGGCACATATACACACACATGCCTGATGTGATTTTCAAGCTGTCAGGTCCAGGCCTCAAACCGTGGCCAGCCATCTGGGAGCCCAGTGCTTTAACAAACATCGTGCCACCTGCTGACCTTAGAATAATGCGTCGTTACTTTTCATATAATCATATTTATAGAGTATATTATTTTCTCCCTCAAAAGAATTTAAATCATTTTATTTAATGAGTTATATTTCAGAGATGTATTTTAAATATGTTATTTCATTTAATCTTGACAAAAATGCTATATTTATTCCCTACAACATTGAAATTTTGAAAATATGCCTGAGTTATCCTGTTAGGATTTGAACCAAATTCTACTGTATATGGTCCCAAATTAATTTTTTTAATGACTGTATTATGGGTAAATATATAGGTGTTTACTTAGCAGATAATATGGAAGTTCATAATTTGCTCCTTCAGAACTACAGATCAGGTGTGTAAAAGGCACCGAGACCTTCTTCCAGTTTCTGTTTAAAAAGGTGTGCTTCAGGGCTAGCCCTGTAGAGCAGTGGTGAAATGATGTGTATAGGGAATCATACGCCACATGGCTAACTGTGGTTTCAGTTCCAGCTCCAGTAGCTTGGAAAAACATGCAGGGTCACTGAGTGCTCAAAAATCCTGATGGGACAGAGAAATGGAGGAAAAAGGATTGTGGCATGGTCACGCCCCATTGGGTGTTGCCTTCTCTCTCTTTTTCACTGATGAGTGAGTGTATGGACCTTCTGGTAATAAAAAATAAAATAAAAAAGGGTATATCAAGCTTTTTAATCCCCTTTCACATCCTAAAAGATATGGAGACTTTTGTAACTGTTCAGTTGAATTAACTTCTTACTTTCAATTATAAATTTTAACTTATTATTGGTTACTGAATATTTTCTTTCTATTCATGCCCAGATTAGTACACTTTAGCTAGTTTTCTTGAGTCTAACATTTTCTATATGTAGAATGTATATCATATATTCATATCATTTATCATGTATCATACATACATATAGTCTTCATATTATTTATTATATATACTGTGTATGGTAGTTAGTGTGTATGTATATCTATCTATCTATCTATCTATCTAAATATATATAATTTTAAAATCTATTTCTCCAGTTTTCTAGCTATAACCTATGGGGCAAATATGAGAGAGTTTCAAACATTTGTGAAAAAAGTAAAATCAAAGTATGAGTGTATTTTGGTGCAAAATATTTTTAAATCCATTCATAATTTTTTTTTTTGAGAGGTTTTCACTATAGGGCGTGTGTGCTTGCCAGACAGACAGAGAGAGACAGAGAGACAGAAAGCAAGAAATCAACCCCCCCAGGGGGGATGGTCATGCTGCAATCCCTTCTCCTCCATTCTTCTCTCGGGATCTTGGGCACGCACGCACATGCGCCCAGCGTGAGTTTTAAGCCACTGGGTCTGGGACGCGAACTGTGGTCGACTACATGGGAGTCCAGCAACATAGCCATTACACTAACTGCTGGTTCCTATCCATTCATAATTTTTTAAAAATAAGTATTTTCAATGAACCTTTTGGAGATCCCCCTCGTACAAAAATAGCTTCAATCTTTTTGATATGCTTTCACTAAGTTTATTTACTCTGGATATATATCAACCCCAGTCTTTTGTTGAAGACTACGTAATACAGAGGTAAGCATCATTAAAAAGTTTGTTTTATTTTTAGCTTCTAATTTAACCAAAGATCCCAATGATATTTTCGGTAATAGTTAAGGAGGAAAAGACAATAACATGATGACAATAACGTGATGAGCCTGAAATATAGCAAACATAACGGAGGGCTTATTCTAGATCTTAACATGCATCTCATAATCAAGCAACTAAATAAACAGAATCTAAGATTTAGAGCTGATAGGAACTCTTCACAATGAATAGTTTTTGTTTAATTTCTTACCTGTACAATGTCTCTTTCAGCATATTTTCCTCTGGAAGAGACTCTTACATCATCTCCATCCAATTCGACCATTGCTTGGAAATAAAATATGATCATTTTTATTCAGTACATTTTAGCCAAATATAAAGAACAAAGTGGGCAATAGGAAATCAGCAATATGTCCTCTGTAAAAGCAGAAAGTGAGTCAATCCCTTCATCTCTTCATTCATATCCAACAAAATGTCTGAGTGTACATTTTATAGATGTGAGCAAGCCAAGACCTTGTATAACCCTTTGAAAAATGAGTAGAGCCAATGTATTGTGGAATAGCCTTTGGGTTCATTTGCCTATCCTGTGAGTTCTAACACTGGGCTATAAATGCTTCACAACCAACTAGGCCAGTGATACTAGTCCATTACTTTTTAGTTTTTCCAATTTAAGATTCTTGGCAGCAGTCATCACAGAATTTTCAATAATAACTTGAACTTTATTCTCATTGAACCTTCAATAAATATAGATAACTATACTACCTGATTTCATTTTATGAATAGGTTACAAACAGGCATTTTCCTGTCCTATATTGATTACATAAAGTATGATTTTTTATTAAATAACTTTCAATGGTTGAGAAATAATTTCAACTTTACACAGAACAGCTGCTATTTAGAAACGCTGTGATATAATAGGATGGCTGGTGATACAGTAATGATATGCTGCCACTAAGAAAACTTTATAAGGGACCAGTGGATGGCATAATGGTTACATTGCTGGACTCACTGTGGTTTGAGTCCTGGGTCCAGCGACTTAAAACTCACACCAGGCACATGCGCATGCATGCCCAAAATCGCTAGAGGAGAATGAAGGAGAAGGGACTGCAGTGTGGCTATTCTGCGTGGGGGGTGATTTCTCACTTTCTTCCTCTCTGTGTCTCTCCGATGAGTGACCACATGTGCCCTATAGTAAAAATCTCTCTGTAAAAACAAAACAAAAGGGAACCAGCAGTTAGCGTAATGGCTATGTCGCTGGACTCCCACGTAGTCGACCGCGGTTCGTGTCCCGGACCCGGTGGCTTAAAACTCACGCCGGGCGCGTGTGCGTGCGTGCCCAAGATCCCAAGAGGAGAATGGAGGAGAAGGGATTGCGGTGTGACCATCCCCCCTGGGAGGTGATTTCTCGCTTTCTGTCTCTATGTCTCTCTCTGTCTGTGTGGCGAGCGCACGCGCCCTACAGTGAAAATCTCTCAAAAAAACAAAACAAAACAAAACAAAACAAAAAAATACTTTTCAAATTTTATTAAGTTTTGGTAAGAATTCTCTAGAGAACTAACCAGATGAGAAATGCTAGTTGTGCTTAAAGTACAATTCTGTTACTGATAATTCATTTCATAGACACATGACATTCACCAGACACCAGAGAGTCACTTGCAATTATAGTGTTTGCCTCTTCACCTCCTTCTCCCAAATATTGCTCAGGCAGAAGACAGTCCTCACCTCTTCACTATTCTCTTCAGTGCTCGGATGGTGAAGTCGGGTTAAAAAACATTGTTCTCAATTTTATCTTTTATACATGTTCAGATACCAATGTTTGGGCTGAAGCATTACTGGTATAATAATTGGCAGCAAGCCACCATTTAATAATGTTAGATTTATAACATGTCAAAATTTAATAGCATGTGTGTATTACTAGTAATGAGACAATTAGCTTATTCAAAATAAAATATACTTATTTTTTTCTCCCCTTATTCTTGGGGATGAAAATAGGAAAATCTATATTATTTCCTTTTGTTTTAATCAAGGTTTGCTTTCACAATTTTCATACTACTTCGAAACGTAAACGTATATTGATTTTGACACATCGGGAATCACACAAATGTCTCCTTTCTTCTCTAATACGCTAATGATGCATAGTAATTACCCCTACTCACTCTACAATGGGAAACAAAAGTTAGATGAAAATCTAGGTCTCCCACTTTTCAGCATGTGCTTTGTGTTGGAAGGCTGCAGGCAGCAAGAACTGGAGGCTATGTTTTTGAGAGCTAGGAGAAAGGTGGCGTGCAAGTGGTGGAGGGGTTCTCAAAGAGGTAGACATTGTGAGCTTGGGTTACCCACCAGTGCCTTCCCTGCCAAGAAGGTCTGTAAGAGACAGATCTGCACTCCTTTCTAGCCATGGAAAACACAATAAAGTTAGATCCCTTCTATTAATAACCTTTTCTCTGAATTCAGGTCAAACAGATAGCCAGATGCTCCTTCTATTTGACTCTTTGACTGCCTTTCAAAGAGAAATCCTTCTTCAAGAAATCTTTGTTCATAATGAAGGTGCTTTATATAGAAGTGAAACATCACAGGGGGAAGATTATGTGGAGAATTTAAAAATATTATTAAAATACAGATATAAATTTCAATACTCATTAATCAAATAGTTTTTTCTGGCATCAGAGAACAGATGGTAAAATACCACATTTCTTGGGCTCTATGGTACAAAGGTAATGCCCTACTCAAGAGAAGCTGGAACCACATGGCAACCACAGTTTGAATCATGACTGGGTCAGCCGGAATGTGTAGGCAACACAGGAGTACTCAAGATCCAAAGGGCTGGCTGACTGGAAGAAGGGGATTGTGGTGTTTCCAGACCCTGTGGAAGGTGCTTGTCACTTTCTTACTCTCATATGTGTACATCTACTCTCTGTCATAAATGAAGAAAAAAATACTGCATTTCTTGTCCATGCAAACAATGTCTTTCTGTTTAAAAATGTCCAGACGTTGGATTTACATGGTTGGCTGGTAAATTTGCAAGTTGAAGTTCAATCTTTATCTTTGCCAATTTATACTGTGTGGTTTATAAACTTACTCTATGGTAGATTTGGAAGTGCCCAAAAAGGCTCTTCTGATATGATAGCAGCAAGTTGATTGTAAGTCAGATTTTTCTATATTAAATATGAGTAGTCTGTCATTTTCTTCTTAGCCATGGAGAAAGGAGATATGTTTTGATAGGAAAGAAAGAAAAATGAGTTAGAGAATCATGTCTTCTCTCCTAGCAGAATAGTCTACTTTTTGTATTGATAGTATTGAGCCTGGATATTTTTTATCCTATTAAAATTTGATGTGGTAAAAGCAGAAACCAGGCATTACAGTGGTTCACATATATCTAGAGGAAAGTTTCACTCTAGTGTCCAAGAGGGAGTTCTGTGGGAAAGGAGATTTCCCATTTTGTTGATAATCTTCACATACTTTTCTGCATTAAAAGCCAAACAATTCTCAGAATTGCTAAACTTAGAAGAAAGCTTATTATGGATTTCTCCCTTTAAGAGAGCATGTCCTCCCACCGAATACAATTTATCCCCAAGGCATGCTTCCTAGGCAAAGCTCTGTCCTTACATGGAGGATGCCTGGAGAAAAGAATGAAGTCATCTAATCTTGGGGCAAAAAAGTAATGGGAAGTCTGACTCTGTTGACAGGTTAACTAAAATTCTCAAATTCAACATTGTTAGTAAATAAGCTGACATGTTGGTGTGAATGATTTCTGTATATGTTTGTTTTTTAGATATTTCAGAAACCCAGAGAGAGAAGTGATAAATTATCATACCTCATACCTCAAAATCCTAAGGAAAAAAAATCTGTGGCTGTTGGATGAGGATAGCACCTATGCCTACTGTTGTGGGTAGAAGTCTATGACCAGAAATATACACCAGGACAGGTGTGGCTCTGTATTCATGCATCAGAGGTGGGGACTCTGGGAGAACTTGAAGTACTGAAGGTGCAGTAACACGGGAGTCTGAGAGACCTGAGATACACCCATGAGAGGTACATCCTTCAGAGGCAAAAGCAAGTAGTAGCTGAAGAAGAAAGCATGAGCTATTTTAGCCTAGCAAATGATATTAGTGATATTTGTGAATCACAGTCCACCAGTGATTAATGCAGATTATCAAGTGCCCAAAGCATTAACAAGAAAGTTGTGTCTTCCCAGCTCCTGACTTCAGAGAGGTGTCTCATACTCATGCCTAAAGTACAATGCAAACAAATTCAAATACTAAGAAACAAAGAACATTAACAGAAGCAGCAGCAGTTAGAGCTAAGTGACTTTTGCTTTAGAAACTGCAAGATTAATGATGAAAGGATGACCAAACCACTCATAGATTATAAGGGAATCTAAGATCAGCATAAACCTCCTGTGGTGTTTTACTTGAGACAGATCTGTACAATCCTTATAGAGGAAGACTGGTGGTTAAATAAGAATCCCCTCAGGGATACCCATACTCTAGCCACCTATGAGCTTAAACTAACCAGTAATTTATCAGAGATCATTCCAAATATTCTAAAACTATTAACAATTCCAAAGTCCCAAGCTATTAAAAATAAACTACCACTGTTAATGTAAAAACGTCTGAACCAGATGAATGTAACGTGGTCATGCAATTGCTGTCTAGCCTAGAATTCTCTAAAAGAAATTTATCAGATGACTAGGGACAGACTATCCTTAAAGAAATTTACCCAGATCACTAGTTATGTAAATACCTGTCACTTAATTAGCATTTGAATAAGGCCTGAGCCCAGATAGAAAACTATCCAATAAGCATAATTTAGCATAATTATTTCAAGTTTCATTAAATTTCAGCTGGTTAGTTCTATTTTCACTTTACTTGCTCTTTCATATGACAGAACTTCTTTATGTATAAAGCTAATATCTATTAACTAGCAAGGGTATGAAACCTATTAAGTTAGCATATTATGCACAGGTTATCATTTCTTTTTACAACCTAATGATTTAGTAATTTAGCATTCAACCTTAAAGTGTTTTAGTGAACCTAGATAGAGTGTGTTTTGCCTTGAGAACAAAAGCTCAGTTTTTTAACAATCAGTCTTAAGAAATATGAGGTACAAACTATCTCTAATTAAATGGAAAGCTATACGTGAAATTCATCTATAAAGTAGAGCGATAATGTCCTACTCAGGAGACAAAATTTTAAAATTTTCTCGCCTCAATAGATACCATTATGAGTTAACAATATTTATGTTTACATATACACGGAAATTAAATAAAAGCCCACATGCCGTCACATCTTCCTACACAGGAAAAAAATTATAAACTCTTAAGAGCATTATACACCAGGTTAAATGAACTCCTAAGGAATATATTAAAATTTTACTACTCACCATCAAATTCTGCTGGGCCAACACCAACTATAATTATTGACATTGGAAGTTTTGAAGCCTTCAAAAAAAAAAAAACACAATTTAGTTTCAATGAAGAACTTCCACTTCCGTTGTTGGAGCTGGCAGGTGGTGTGGTGGTGAAGACACTGGGCTCCCCACATGGCCAACTGCAGTTCAAGTCCTGAATGTATGGCTCACTCTCACTTTCCCTCTCTCTCTAATGAGTGTACATGACCAATAGCAAATTAAAAATAATAATCAATAAAAACTTTAAAAAAAGGTATTCAGTTCTTAAGAAAAGAACTAAGAAGAAAATACCCTGAGTTTTGTTTGATATTTTTTCACAGATGTTCATTAAAATAGTTTGTGAACATCTTCAAAATTGTTAACACTTAATAATACATTAATACTTGGTTCCACCCTATCCTTTCCAAACTTGGACTCTGTGCTAGTCCAGTGGGACATGTTTTGGAAATGAGCAGCCCTGGTAAGATCTGGTAATAAAAAGTAAGAAGCATCTGCATTTACTTTCTACTCTTGTCTAAAATCTCCCTAATTGACCCTGGGTATCTGGTTTATTTTTCATTCTTTCTCCTCCCTGCAAAATGTCTACTTACTTTCTATCTAAGGTTAGCAAAAGCAATTTTTACAGTGAGTGAGTGAATATAAATGATCATTACAGAAAGCTAGTATTACTAATTTATGTACTAAATATCCATGAGGTTATAAGAGAGACTAAATATTTGATGTTATGACATGTTTTTATCATACATATCACTTAAAGTATATGGTCACTTTTAATAATTTAATGCAAAGAATATGAGACTTAGCAACAGATAGATGGAACACTACAGTGACCTCATCTTCAGCTCGAAAGGTCAATGAATTATGAATAATTGTTACTCAGGGGATCTTGTCCTGTTAGTTGAGCTTAAATTATTAAGTCTATATTTTTAAAGTGTACATTAATGCCACTAACCAGAACATAAAATAAATCAATAAAAATTGAACTCAAGGATATTTAGTCAAAAGAAAAAAACAACCAACACACAAATAAACAGACTTGTCAGCCTTTACCTCCTCTCCATTTTGTTTGGATTTTCTAAAAATCTCTAAAATGTATTCGATTTTTCCCTAAATGTGATTCTTTTTCTTCACACCAAATAGCTCATGGTAGTTCTTTATTTTAATAAATCATTCATTTATGCAGTCCATTTTTATAAAATGTCTACTTTATGCTGAACATTGCTGTCTCAATACAAAAAGATAGTAAAAATAGACACAAGTTTTTAGATTGCCATCTAGTAATGACAGATTTATAGGCCAGTAACCTAGTGAAGACAATCAATTAAAAAATCATAAAAAACAAGTATACAATTAGAAATGATAAGCAAGATGGTTTTTGAATCAAGTCCGGTTTCTATCCAGTTCTTCAGAAATAGGAGTTAGCACAGTTCCCCTGTAACTACAGAGCAAATGATAAGAGATAATCTGCACAAATGATAAGTTTGTACTTAAGTGGATCAGATCTATAGAGGTAAACATAGTCATCATATAAAAGTGATGCTATTATCTTCTATTATCTTCTTTTTTTTTTTAATCGAGGCAAGAATTTTGTTCTAACTCAACAGTTCACATCCACCAACTTGGTCTTCATGAGTCAATGATACAGCGATGTGTGAGTTATTTGGATATGGGTGAGCATGCCATTTGCTGTAAAAGCATGAGTGTTTGATTTCACTGTAAAGTCAACTAATGTAGACTCTGGTCTCTGATCTCAACCTATGTAGCACTGTGGACTACGAGGTCGCAACCCAAGACCTACTCACATTAACTATGGACTCCTTAGTTTGTGCCATGTCTGAGATAACACCGTCTGTCACAATAAGGAGCACAAAATACTGGGAGCCATCCTTTACAGACGAAGCATATCTATAAGGCAAGGAAAAGGTAAGGAATTATCACAGGAAATAAATATAGTTCTTCTCTACATGATGGTTGCTAAATAACAATTTGGAATAGTCAATAAACCTTTTAATCTCAAGAAAATATTTAAACATATGTTAGAGACCTATATTATGTGAATTCTCCAATACACATATTCTTTTAGAGCACACTAGGATAACCGCAATGTCAGTACACACTGGCACACGGAAATATTTGGCTGCCTTAGAAGTTCATTTACCAGGACTAGCAGTTAGTGAAATGGCTATGTCGCTGAACTCCCATGTAGTTAACTGCGGTTCGAGTCCTGGACTCGGTGGCTTAAACTCATGCCTGGCGCAGGTGCATGCATGCCCAAGATTCTGAGAGGAGAATAGAGGAGAAGGGATTGCAGTGTGGCCATTCCCCTTGGGGGGTGATTTCTCACTTTCTGTCTCTCTGTCTCTGTTTTTCTGGTAAGTGCTTGTACCCTATAGCAAAAAAACCTCTAAAAAAATAGTAAGTTCATTTACCAGTAAAAGGTGAGCTGGATAAGGAATTGTTTAGCACAAAGGAATAAACACAGGTTTTGGAAACAGACTTATTTTGGCTAAGCAACATATTATGCATACGATCTGTCAATTACCAACATTTTCTGAACTTTATTTTCTCAACTTTAAAACTAAGACGACTTTTATAATTTTTGCATTGTTACATAAATTACTAAAGAGAGCACATGTATGGAACTCAATATATAATGGGATTCTATAAGTGGTAGCGATAATAAAAAATAGGTTTCATTTAGGAATTACATAGAGGTGATAGTTTACAACAATAAGTATATTTGCCATTGAAATGTATGCTTTTAAATGGTTACTTTCAGTTATGGAAATATTACATAAAAATGCAATGCAAAGAATACTTTTTGACACTAGTCTTAGTTAAGCTCTTCATATATGGTAAATCAGTGAGATAAGGGAAGGAGAATGATAGCAAACAAAGTAAAAGCTTTTATACATAATAATAATTCTATTGCTGTGCCACAGCTTATTCCCAGAATTTGCATCAGTTTGATGCTACTATAATCAATGGAAAAACGATCTAAAACAGATATAAATCTATTATCTAGTTATATATGATAATACTTTATACTGCTTAAAGAAGTTTATCAGAATTCTCACCAAATAATATTAATTCAGAGGGGAACTTTATGAATGCTATATTTTATTATATTTCTTCTCTACCTACAGTGTTCTGCATTTTAGGTATCGATTATATGGCCAACACAAAAAACTTTTATAGTTTTTGTACATTACTGATATGCAATTCATAGCCAATGATGAGTAAGCATTATGGTTTTCTTTGGGAAGAGTAAACAAGAAGACTTTACTTAGCCCATGTTTCAGTAAAATTATCAAGTACAGCATAGAAAAATGGCATTCGTGAACAATTCCATTGATTGGCCAATGAAATTCTTTTACAACCTGATGGACCCTAAGAGGTCCTGTTTGAACAGGTCTGAGACAGACAAATAGCATAATTCCTCAGATCAGAACTTATTTCTTGGACGGTAGAATTAACAAGCATAAGAATAATAAAAATATTCATCATTTTTCCATATTCTACAGAAGTTGATATGTATACACGCTACTAATAAAATGACTGATAACTTTATAAATGACAAAGAGAACATAGTAAGTAGTGTATTAATTCACATGCTGTAAAAAGAAACATTGAATTTGTTACATAATAGTCATAAATACCTCCACAATATTCTGGACATTAAGGAATTTGTATTGAAATTATTAAGTTTTATGAGCAAGAGAAAGTGAGAGAGTTAGTTGCCCCCACCGGAGACTTGACACTGCAATCCACCTCCAGGCCCAGCCAGCCCAGGACCACAGACATGCACATGCCTGGTGTACCCAAGGAGGTCTCTAGATGCAAACTTGGAACACTCGCATGTGGGAGGTAAGCACGACATTCTACTGCTGTGCCACTGTTCATTACCAGAATTTGTATCAATTTGATGGTACTATAATAAATGTAGAACAATCCAAAACAGATATGACTATTCTCCTATTACACACTTAATTATGACTCTATTCTCCTATTACACACTTAATTTTTTTCTTTTTGTTTAAGAAAAGGAATCTGGGGAACAGCAAATAGTGTAATGGTTACATCACTGGCCTCCCATGTAGTCGACTGTGGTTCAAGTCCCAGACGTGGAGACTTAACACTCATGCCGGGCGCATGTGCATGTGTGCCTAAGATCCTAAAAGGAGAAAGGAGGAGAAGGGATTGAGGAGTAGCCATCTCCCTGAGAGTGATTTCTTGATTTCTCTCTCTTTGATTCTTTTTGTCTTTCCGTTGAGCACATGCACCTATAGCAAGTATCTCTCTCAAAACAGGAAAAAAAAACAAAAACAAAGAATCTGACAATTCCCCTCAAGTGTTCAATTTTTAATTTTTAAATACTTATTTTTCAAAAAGCACTTCCTACTGACCATAATTCAGAAACAAAGGATATTACATTTCATGTGATTAATGGAAGGCTATGAGTAGTAGTGAAACACTTTCAAGGGTACAACAGCATTGTTTTTATGTTTTTGGTACAAATGATACTCATAAAATGGTAAATTTCGACCAGATTCAAAAACAATACAGTAATTCTGTTGTCATTTAAAAATAATACTTGCAATAGCTTAATTGATTTTCTTTTGATCCACAGAATGGAAGTCTAGGAGAAGGAGAGGACATATTCATACTGCCAAGAGAGTTGAGGACTGATCTTGAAGCATGCAATAGTAAACTTGGAATTTCTCTGGTTTGTTGTTTTATCTTAACTACTCATAAGAATTTTTCATTTTACTTTACAATAAATAACTGCTAAGGAAAAAAACTGAGAAAAATTAGAAAAATTAATGCTGAGAAAGATGCATTAGTTTGTTGTGTGGCTCTCTCTAGTGCCAGATACACTTAATTAGAAAATAAATGACATTTCACATAACAGCTTTTCAATCCATTTTAGTCCTTATTACCATCAGCACCACAAATTAATCTTGATAATTCTTCATTATTTGTATGATATTTGCTCTAAGCATTGAAATATTCTTGCAGTTTGCAAATCTATCTAAATATCAAACAAAATCAGTGCTGTCTTACCATTCCTTCTAAGTTAGCCTTTTATTTCAAAAGCACTATATACTTATAATAAAATAATTAATATGTTATTTAAAAAAGTACAAAGTAAAAAGTATAAGCTGACCAATTTCTCTTCTAGGAAGTGACATGGATATACAGATTTGCAGATTCAAATTATATTTTAAAGGTATTAGAGAACTTGCTTCTTAAAGTACCTTGATGATGAATCTTTCTGAAAATTGCATAATTAAAACTTATTATTAAAAGCTACACTGTCCTTAATCAAATACAACCAATCTATAATTTAGATTTTAATATTACCACGATGAATCTGAGAGAGAAATTCACTTTGTTAGTGTTAAGAAATTCAAATACAATTTTTTGGATTTTTCTAAAAAAGATTCTAGAATTTTGAATGTAAAATTAATAAATGGCTCACATTTGAAGAATATTCTTTTAGCTTATTATTTGCTCACAGGAAGAAAGAGGGCAACAAAACAAGACAAGAAATTGACTCTGGGGCTGGCAATACCCTGATACCATGACAGATGCTGAGTAAAATTTTACATCGTTTGAATCACTGTTCCCTGGACAGCTCTAAGAAAGTTGGATTGGAAAAGCAAGAAATCAGGAGTAGAGAATTGGAAAATCTCAGAAAAGCAAGCGAAACCTTCATAATTTTTTGCAAATTTGATGCCTTGAGTCTTGCATATCTCACGGTGTGACTATTCCATTAATATCTCAAAAGTTAATATAGCCTTATTACATAGAGCAAACAAACATGTGCTTAAAATTGTTATTCTTAAGAAGGATAAGCATTTAAAAAATATTTATACAATATAATAATAAACAGTTAAGTTTTTACTTATACAGAAAAAAATAGCTTACAAAGGGGAAAAAGCAAATAGTGTGGATATATATTTGTTTTCCCTTAACTAAAAATCATTTTTTAAGTTTTATTTCGTGCATCTGTGCTTATGCATAAGAGAGAGAAAGAAGATCCCCTTGATGGAGGTCTTATCATGCCACTATCCCCTTTCCACAGGTCTCCCAGACCTTCAGGATTTGGGGCAGGCATGAGGGCAACCAACATGTTTTCAGATTGACCCACAGACCAGCACCTATGGTTGGCCATGTGGCTTCTAGTACTATAGTCTAGTTTACTACTGAGTGTTCCACCAGGCTGGGCTTCCAAAAATAATTTTCAATGAAAATATCTTAACATTTACAGAATTCATTTATATGAGGACCTCAAAAGTTTGTGGAAAATGCAATTAAGGTATCAGTTTACTTTAATGCAAAAAAAGATTGAAATTCTTGCACAACTTTTACATAGTATGTATTTTCCATGAATTTTATGAAGACCCATCATATTAGGCAGTTCTTGAGTAATTTTACATGATAGACATGATGCTAGGAACTGTAGAAGCGTATTTAAGAGTGACAAAATGAACAAGAAATTTGATATAAATAGAGGTCATGCATATCATGACTATAACACTTCTGTTGATACAGAAATAAATAGTATCTCTCTTCTAATTTGTTAAAGGGCATGTGGACCTGTCAGAGAGTGACAGAAAGAAAGAGAAGAAGCACTTTCTCCACAGGAGATGGTCAAGCCACAATCCCTTCCCCTCCATTTCTCCTCGTGGGATTTTGAGCACACACAAACACACACACACACACACACATACACCCACATGTGCCCTATGTTTTTCAAGCCACTGGGTTCAGGACTCTTACCACACAGTCAGCCATGTGGGATCCAGCTACCTAAATCATCATAACATCAGCTTTGGGCTGATAATTTTGCCAGACAGAATTGTCTCTCTTAATAAATGTAAAAATTAGTTCATTAAATATAACATTCAAAGATATCAGAAAAGATAAAGGCATTTATTTTACAGATACATTTAATAGTAAGAGACAGCTACAAGGAATTCCTAGAGTATTGAAAAGATAAGATGACACTTAAAAAGCCATTTTTACTATTTTTCTTATTTTCTCTCACTTAAAATAAGCAACTAAGAACTATTGGATCATGACTTATCTTCAAAGAGTCTAAAAAGCCTTAGCTGGCATTTATTGCTATAATTGAGAATTTATAAAGTGCTAGAAAAAATGGAATTAAAATACTGTGGAGTCTGTAGTTTTAAATGTTATATAGAAAGTCACCTAAAAATTGTACATCTGTAATTTTAACTTTTATAATAAAGATGTGCCAGGATAAAAAGTAGAAAATTAATTGCTAATCACTGATGAGCACATTTATAACTAGCATGAATTCACACTAAGTAAGTACCATAACTTTTATCATTTTAGCAATATGTATCTGAGATCAGCTATAATTTATCTTGCATTAATACAATTCTTTTATTTTTTAAAAGAATTATTTTATTTAACTTTATTTATTTATTCATTTTAATATGACCAAAGAGGAACTGAGAGAGAAAGTGAGAAAACAAGCCATCAGGTCCAGAACTGGGCCATGTGGGAGTCCAGCACCCTTAACCATCATGCCACCTGCTGGCCCTCACATTAATATGATTTTTAATCTTGCTTTATTTGAGCCATTAATAAACCAGGAAAGTTTATAGTATATACAATATTACTTATACACATTAGTATAATAAGCTAGAATATAGTTTTCAAGCTATAGGTAATAACCCATTAGTAATTTTGTTTTCTTTCTTTTTTATTTTTTGGAGAGATTTTTGCTATAGGGCACATGCACTTGCTTGAGAAACAGAGAGAGACAGTGAGATAGAACGCGAGAAATCACCCTCCAGGGGGAATTACTATGCCGCAATCCCTACTCCTCTCAATATCTTGGGCATGCACGCTCATGAGCCTGGTATGATTTTTAAGCCGCTGAGGCTGGAACTCAAACTGTGGTTGACTACGTGGGAGTTCAGCAACATAACCATTATGTCATCTGCTGTTCCTCCATTAGTGAATTTTGATCTTAATTTTGTGGGTAAAAATCTACACTTAAAAAATAACCCAGAAAATATTAGAATTCTATAGACATAAAGAGAAAACATGAGGTTAAAAAAAAAGTATTAGTTACTGAAGTTTTTTGTTGTTTTTGTTGTATATATACGGTTGGGATATAAAATTAATCTTATTATAGACTGCAGATAAAATGTCTTAAAAACCCAAGCCAAAGGGTCACAACTCAGAGAATGGTCATCAATGTATCACTGTCATCCTGAGGTGAAGTTCCACAGTGCAGTTCCACTGGGGTCAGCCCTGAGTGTGGGGGTATTTTGGTGTCTTGTCTGTGTCCTAGATAGTGAAAAGTAGAGCACATTTATGCAGCTGGTAAGGTCCAAAAGAGAGACTGGTAAAGCACTAACATCTTCAAACAGTGACCTGAGTTTTCACTTTGTCCTCTACACTGATAAATTAATCAGAATGCGGCATTTTTTTCAGGTTGTGGCCACATATGTGAAAGGATATGAGAACTACACCTTTTTGATTATCTCAAAACAAGGTAGGGTTTCATAGCAGTTATAACTGGTTCAAGCCAAACTTTTAGGGGTTTCAAAAGTGGTATTTAATATTCATTTAGGCACTAAGAAAAGCAAAGACAAGTGTATATAGATTTATACATTGTGACACAATCTCCAGAACATGTAATTGGAGGCCATAAGCAATTATATTTTGATCTCAGTATCATGTACTATATACAGGTAGAGCTCTGGGAATTTATAAAATTAGATACTATATTAATTTCATAGAGGTGAAAATAATGTGCCCTATATATCACTGAAAGTTTTAAATAGTTGTCTTAATAGAATTCAGTCTCCTATTACTTCTATGATACTCTGGAATGTGGTAAGATTTACACTGTTGAGATCGCCATCCACCCTGAGAGCCAGAAGGCTCTCATGGATGCCTTTTTTTAAAAGAATTATTTATTATTTATTATTATTATCATTATTTAATTTGACCAGAGAGAGAGAAAGTGAGAAAGCTTATTATTATTATTATTATTATTATTATTTAATTTGACCAGAGAGAGGGAAATTGAGAAAACAAGCTGCTAGGTCCAGGACTTGAACCACAGTTGGCCATGAGGGAGTTCAGTGCCTTAATTGTTTACACCAATGCATATATTAACTTTTAAAAAATAAACATTATTTTTAAAACCTGTAAAAAAATTATTTACACTAAGTATCAGCCCCTGTGGATGTTATTTTGAAAGAAAAGCATTTTCCTCGATTGAACAAAGATGGGTTTTGGCCTAACCCAGTACATGTTCCTTCACTTGAGATTTTGATGTAGAGTTCTCTGCAAAGTATCATGATAGCTTGATAGAGACCCTTTCTATTCACTTTCATTTTCCCTTCACTTTCTCAGAGGTAAATTAGAAGAAAACGACTATGATCTACAGAATCATGCTAGCAATAATGTTATAATTTCACCATGAATTGATATACTAGAAGAAAGTCTTTCCTGCTCGCTACTTACCTTGCTACATGATTAATTACAGGAGCAAAGTTTGTTGGCCCATACAGTTGTACAGATTTCAGACTCCTGTAATAAGCCTCCATTACCCCCTCGATGCCATCACAGTATGGGTTTTGAGGGTTTCCATTCTATAAAAAATTATAAGCAAAATAAATAAAGTAGAAAATTAATAGTCTCTAGAAATCAATTGACAAAGATAATAACATAGGTAGACAATAAAAGATTTTGTTAAAGAATTATTTATTTATTTAATTCCATTTGTTATTATTTCTTTTAATTTGACCAGAGAGAGAGAAAGGGATAGTGAGAAAACAAGCTGTCAGGTGCAACACTCGAACTATGGTCAGCCATGTGGGAATCCAGTGCCTTTAACTACCATGCCACCTGCTGGCCCTAACAATAAAAGATTTTTTTGAAGAACACTTAGTTACAGATTTATTGAATTGTTGGGAAAATTATGATGCATTTTTGCAGAGAAAAACAAAGAAAATACATCATGATTTCCCAACAACCTAATATAATAGCAAAATGATAATAATAAACTCAGTGGTCTGCAATAGATTTTAATGTACTGTGAAGATTACAAAATGAAGGCATAATACAGCATTAAAAATGCATATTCTTGGGACCAGCAATTAGCGTATTGGCTATGTTGCTGAACTCCCATATAGCTAACCACGGTTCGAGTCCCAGACCCAGTGGCTTCAACTCACGCTGGGCACGTAGGCATGCGTGCCCAACATCCTCAGAGGAGAATGGAGGGGAAGGGATTGCAGCATGGCCATCTCCCTGGGGGATGATTTCTCACTTTCTATCTCTTTGTGTCTCTCTTTCTGGTGAGCGCATGTGCCCTATAGCAAAAACCTCTCAAAAAAAAAAAAAGTGCATGTTCTTCAAAATATGAATGAGAGAAAAATTCTACAAAATCTTAAGAGAAGCTGAATATCACAACATTTTAAAATTAATAATAATTGATAATTTTATACAGGTTTGTTTATATGTAGAGAACATATAGAAGAAAAACAAAAGAAGAAAAACAAAATATTAATAATGATATGTAGGTAGTTAAAAAACATGTGACTTGTGACTTATTCTTTAACACATTTTTCCAATCTTTCTGCAGTGAGTATATATTAAAATCAGAAAAATAACATCTGTCATCAATTCAAACAGTTTTACCTGAAAGAAGAAAAATGTAAAATATCTACCACAGGCATATTTTCAGGCCACAATTAATAGCCCAACTACAGTTGGGGGTATTATCAAGGAAAAGTAAATCAATATCAAGGCAAAGTAAAAGGACAAGAGTCAGAGAAACATAGCCATGTTGTTTAGGAGAAATGAAGTTTACTACTATGGAACCCTTATTTGGGCACAGCACCCCGAAAGGCAACTTTAAACCTGGATATCCTAGTCAAGCTATTTCATACCTCAAATTGTCGCTTTTTTTTTTTAATCCTCTTAGACCAGATTCCACAATAACATAAATTAGACGATGTATTAGTTATCTACTGCTGTGTAACAAATCACCCCCAAATTCTATGCCTTTTGTTTAGCGGGTGGGTTAAAACACCAAATATTTATTATCTCACAGATTCTGGGGTATCAGAAATCCAGGAGCAGCTTAGCCAGTGGGTCCTTGAACAGAATCTCTCATGAAGTTATAATCAAGATGTAGACCCAGGCTGCGGTCCCCCACAAGCTTGCTGGGGCTCAGTTACATGGCTGTTGGCAGAAGGCCACATGGCTTCTCCATAGCGTTTCCTGAGTGTTCTCACACATAGCAGCTAACTTCCTCAGAATGAATGATCCAAGAAAGAAAGAACAAGGACAAAGCCTCAGGGCCTTTTATGGAACTAGTCCCAGACCTTACATACCATTATTCTACAGTAATGTATTTGATAAAAATGAGTCACTAAGTCTAGCTCACACTCCAAGGAAGAATCAGCTTCCATCTCAGAAAAGGAGCATATCTAAAATTGTACAAATACATCTAGAATACGATTGACAATAACTCTTTGTAAATATGACAATAGGGCTTGGTTGTAGACTAATTGTTTCGGGAGCTGGATCCCATGTGGCAGACTGAGATTTGCATCCTGGCCCCTGGGACTTCAAACACTCTGGGTTTCTGGGCATGTATGCTCCAAATACTGACAAGATGGGGAAATGGAGGAGAAGGGATTTTTGCAATACGATGCAGACTGTGGGGATGCTATCTTCCTCTCTATCTCTGTCTCTTTCGAGTAAGCACATGTATAGCTGCAATCACAAGTGGTATTTGTAACTGAAATTTGTTGAATTCTAAATGCAAACTTTTATAGTAAAATCATTACATGTATTACATAATTTTTTTACAGTAACTCTTAAAAAGTAGGCCAAGTACTGTCATTATCCCCACCTTACAGATAAGGACACCAAGGCTCTGACAGCTTGAGCACTATGCACAAGGTCACACAAAACAAATGAAGAGAGTCAATCCAGGCAGTCAAATTCCAGAACTCACTCGATATCACTCACTGCTATGCCACCACATTATGAAATCCGAAGAACTATGCAAGACTAGGGATCTTAAAAACTAAGCCAGATGTTATCAACCCCAACAATTTTGTTATTTGTGAGAGAGAAATCGATACAGATTATTTTCCTTTTAATTTTGTCTTTTCTTCAAACATTTTATGAATTAAACCTCACATACAATTTAAAAAACATAACAATAATAAAAATCCTCTTTAAGCTATTAAGTTGGTCACATGAATTGACTGAAATTAGAATGTAAAATAAAATACTAATATTTAGCACAAAGCAGTTAATGGTTGATTTTGATGTTAATCTGAGCTGACCTATTTAACCTCTCTTTAAATAAGATTTTATGGTGCTCTTTTCCCTTGATAAGGTATGAAGCTAATTAAAATTAAAACTCATTACTGATTTTGGGCATATAAAAATGTATTATATATCTGCCTTAAGGGAATAATTACAAAGTAGGATAGTTCTGAGCTACTTTTTTTTAACATTGTGACTAGGGGTTTATATTTCTATGAAATAATATATTATTTCTGTCACTCTGGAATTAAAATCACAGCAAGGTACCATCTTTTTTCATTTTTGATAGTGGAAAGATTACCATTACATGTTCAATTCATCAATATGTAATGCTCAAAGCTCTGATTTCTGAATTAGTCCCAATATCATAATAAGTTGCTCTAAGGTTTCCTCATATGTCTTGGATGATAAGAATATTTTATTACATAAAATTACATCTATTTAAAAATACATGCTTTGCATTATGTCAGGATTATTTTAAATATTTCATAGCTACTAAAATGAGATTTTCCTCTTAATGACAAAGTTGTAAGAAGTTATAAAATCATTTTTTAAGTTTGAAAACTCATTTCTTAAAATAACTACTTAGGGAATCAGTTGTTGCCTGTTAAAACAAATTAGAATGAACTTACATGTGATTCTGGCACAAAAGTAAAACATGGCATGTTTTGAAAAATGAATTCAGTTAATTTTGCTGTTTATTAATGAAGAAGACAATGAATGCCCTATTTTATATTTCCCTTTTAATTAACAACCTTTCTGTTGATGAGATAATGAATGATAACTTGCAGAACACATAAAAAACAATAAAGACCCAAATTCCAAATAAGCCCACCAAGCGGTACCCAAGTTAAGTGAGGTATACATGGCCCACCGTGATTTGAGTCCCAGAACTGCTGGCTTGAGAGGGCATGCCCAAAATTCCTAGAGGAGAATGGAGGAGAAGACATTGCAACATGGCCATGTCCCCTGAGGGGTGATTTCTCACTTTCCTTCTCACTGTCTCTCTGTCTCTTTCCAGCGAGCACATGCACCCTAGGACAAAAAGCTTTAACAAGAAAGGGAAAGATGTATCTGCCTTGCACCTCTTATTTCCCGGTTTAACTTTCTTGGGGATTGTGTTTGGAATCAGTTCCACACAAGAAACCTCTGGTCTACAATACAGCCTATAGTCTAACATTTTCCAGCAGGGCTAACAAGCTGATGAAATACCGTAGAGAAGCTCTTAGAGGCTGTTGCTCTCTCTTTGAAATGTCCTTATGGCTGCTTAAAGAATGCTCACGGTGGGGAAAAACTGATAGAATTCCTCCTTTCATTCAAGAAAGAAACATCTATTGAGCTTCTATTTTATGCACAGAAGTGTTAAAGACTGTTGGTTATTAAATGTCAACATCTAGTTGGAAAAAAAGACATACACATAAATATTAAATTGAATAGATTTTTATAAATGCCCAAATAAGCAAAAAGTGATCAAACACTTTTAGATACTAAGTAGGGGAAATCACTTGGACATGTCCAGCATTTCTCTATTAATCAATGCCTAAGACCTTCTTTTCAGGGCTGCCAATCACATGGCCATTAGAAATTCCTTGTCTAGAGCCCTACGCTATTGTATTTTAGAGGTATCTGCCTTGCACCTCTTATTTCCCGGTTTAACTTTCTTGGGGATTGTGTTTGGAATCAGTTCCACACAAGAAACCTCTGGTCTACAATACAGCCTATAGTCTAACATTTTCCAGCAGGGCTAACAAGCTGATGAAATACCGTAGAGAAGCTCTTAGAGGCTGTTGCTCTCTCTTTGAAATGTCCTTATGGCTGCTTAAAGAATGCTCACGGTGGGGAAAAACTGATAGAATTCCTCCTTTCATTCAAGAAAGAAACATCTATTGAGCTTCTATTTTATGCACAGAAGTGTTAAAGACTGTTGGTTATTAAATGTCAACATCTAGTTGGAAAAAAAGACATACACATAAATATTAAATTGAATAGATTTTTATAAATGCCCAAATAAGCAAAAAGTGATCAAACACTTTTAGATACTAAGTAGGGGAAATCACTTGGACATGTCCAGCATTTCTCTATTAATCAATGCCTAAGACCTTCTTTTCAGGGCTGCCAATCACATGGCCATTAGAAATTCCTTGTCTAGAGCCCTACGCTATTGTATTTTCAGCTATAATCCTGAAAGGAGTTATCAAGCGTATCCAGAGGAGAGCAATGAGCCATTTTTAAACACCCAAAAGTTCTAAAACAGCAATATTATGGAATTCTTCCTTTTCTTTCCTGTTCATTTTTTCTTTCC